ATGAAAATCCATAGCTTCATGTACTGTAGAGAAATTAATTTTCAAAGTTCACAATAGATGCTCTGTAATCATAGCTCCTTTCCCTCTATTTTATTTGGCAGTAGTGACTTGTCAGCCTGCTACTGTAAACAAACAGCAGGTGCTGTAAGATGTACTAAACTTTTGAGTATTTGCTGTGATCCTTAAAGTAGTATTAAACCCTGTGCATTTTTTTTTAGCTGAAACACTGACAAACATTCCCCAGTAAACTATGTTTTAAAAAATTCTTACCCCAGCACTGGAAGTTTACAAATTTTCAGTGCTGCAGTTTGCTCTCAGTGCTGCTTCCAGTTTTTGTAGCTGCTGAATTTTATTTTTTTACAGAGTGAGTGGAACTCTGCTTTAAGTCAGTCTGATAGTTTGGAGAAGGGACGAGCAGGGGACTGCTTGTCATTCTATGCTTACATGCTTTGTGCTTCAGTGTAGAGACAGACAGCTCTGGTCACTGCACCCAATGGTAGCTCTCTAGGATGCTGTAAGAGAAAGGAGCCAGGAAAACTGGGGCATTGGTCATGGCACCAGCTGAAACAGGAGCATAAGGAAACATTAAAGAATGGAGAAGATGACTATTTTGTAAAGTACTAAATCATCTGCTGAAAGTGCTTAATTTTACTTAAGGCCTCATTCACACCTGAGCGCGAAGCTAAAAGCTCCAAAACGCTCAGGGGAAAAAAATCAATATTACTCTATGGAGATGGTGCACATCTTCACTCAAAGTCTCCTGAAGCAGAATGCCTGAAACTCAAAAAAGTTTTGGAGCTACTTTTGTAGCTCAAATTGGGCAGATTTGCAGGTTTTTGCCGCCTTTTTATACCCATAGAAAAGAATAGAAACGCGCTTTCAAGCGGGTTTTGGATGATTTTCTGCTCAAATGACAAAATGTAAAAAAAAAAAGTAATACTATATGAATAAATACATTTAAAATAAATCAAATAAATGCACATATAAATAAAAAAAATCATGATAAATCATAAACAAATAATAATTAACCCCTAACCTTAAAAAAATGAAATTATTATTAATAATAAAACACCCAAACAAAAAAAAATACAATAATTACAATAAAGATAAAGTATTATTTTATTATGTTTTTAGCTTTTGGGGGTTAAGGTTATGGGTTAATTATTATTAATTTATTATTACAAGTATTTATGAATATTTTCATGTATTTGTGTATTTATTTTACATTTATTCATTAATATTATTATTATCACCCTAACAATAAAATAAATAGAAAAAAAAAGACAAATAAAACACTATAAATAAATGAAGCAAGAATAGTTGTATTCAAAGGGGAACTCAACGGCACCACATCCCCAATTACTAGAAATTATCAAGAGAAGAGGGAAAAAATACAAAGAAAGAAACAGAGGAGAATAAACTCCTCACATAGAAAAAGGGAAGTGAACGGGACATTAAAAGGTGCCACAAATAGTAGAACACCACCCTAAGCTAAAATTTACAATGTTTATTGTCAAATCAATAAAAGTTAATTTAACCATTTGCCTACAGGGCACTTACAGTATACCCCCTTCCTGCCCAGGCCAGTTTTCAGCTTTCAGTGCTGTCGCACTTTGAATAACAATTGCGCGGTCATGCAACACTTTACCCATATGAAATTTTTATAATTTTTTTGAGACAGATAGAGCTTTCCTTTGGTGGTATTTAATCACTAAAAATAAAGTGCTAACGAAAACCAAAAACAACTTTTAGTTTTTGTTATAAAATTTTGTAAATAAGCGATTCTTCTCCTTCACTGATGTGCGCTAATGAGGCTGCACTGATAGGCTGCACTGATGGGCACTGATAGATGGCACTGATGAGGAGGCACTGGTAGGTGGCACTGATGGGCATTGACAGGCATCACTTATAGGCACTGAAAGGCAGCACTCATATATGGCACTGACTGGCAGCACTGATAGGTAGCACTGATATATGGCATTGATGTGCACTGATATGTGGCATTGATGAGGAACTGATGGACACTGGCAGGTGGCATTGATGGACACTGGCAGGTGGCATTGATGAGCACTGACAGGTGACACTGCTGGGGCTACACTGATCATCAGTGCCCTCTCTGTGGAATGCTGATCACGGCTCTCCTCTCCTCTCGTGACAGCTCGTGAGGAGAGAAATGCTGATAACCGGCATTTCCCTATTTACATGTGATCAGCTGTGATTGGACACAGCTGATCACGTGACCGAGCTGACATCTTCGGCTCTTTCCGTTGATCGGTGATCCGCTGTGTCCAAGGAACACAGAGCACCACCAATCGCCGCGCTTTGAGCTCCCGAAGCCGCGCATGCACAGTTAGAGTGGGAGGACGTTATATGACGTCCTCCCAGAACGAGAGAACTGCCTTACGCCCGTCATTACCTTATATGGCGGGCGGGAGGCGGTTAAAAAAATATATTCAAGTACGCCAACATTAATGGTAACACTTGTTCAAGGACATATATCCAGTGCAATATTTCTCAACATGTTTCGCCTATTTTAGGCTTCTTCAAGAGATAATAGATATAGCACCTACAACAACAAATTTATGTTGATTACACAATATGCCAACAGATTACATATCTTGGATACATAGGTCAAAAATAGAACAGATATCAAATTGAACACATCAGATGTGGTATACATCATATAAAACATTTTTTTTTTTTTTTTAAATTGATGAAGGGCAACTTATCAAAAATGCCATAATGCCTCAGATGGATAGGTAGTGTGTAGAGCAATTATAGTGCAGTTAGATAGGACATAAAATCTTCAAAATAGCTTGGACAACATGGCGCCTCAGGTGGCTGGTAGAAGAGCGCACAAGCTGAATATAAGAGTGACAAACATCACCACTGAAAAAAGTCTCCAAAAACAATTGCTCACGAAATTGAACAAAGAATTATGTACCTTTGAAAGCTAGAATAGGCACCACTGATTAAGTGCTCGGCATGCACAATTATAACCAATAAATTTGATTGTGTTACATCGGAAAAACCGAAAAACAGAGGTCCAAATTGGAGACTGAAAAATAAATGTAAAAGACATTGCAAACATTAGGACCTTATGTCGGACGCAGCGTCGGGAAGACTTGGATATAAAAGGAGCCTGCCTGGCTCTAAAACTTTGTGGTTGATGAGGAAGTGGTATTACGGTGTTGGTGCCTTATTGGTGAGACCTTGTTGATATTTTTTGGAGCTTGTGGCTGGTACTGTATACTGTTGATCTCCCAATATTTTTCTTTCAATCTCCGTGTTATCTTTACTCATTAGCATACATTCCATTGCTTGAGGATTGGTTCTCCGATATGTGTTTTTGCTGTCTCCACCTCCCCCTGGTGAACTAATATTGCTCTGACTGAGGTAAGCTCAGCATCCACACTATACCTATAGTGTATATTATACCACTGGCAATGATAATAGGTCCTAATTTTTGAAATGTCTTTTACATTTATTTTTCAGTCTCCAATTTGGACCTCTGTTTTTTGGTTTTTTTTTCCGTTGTAACATAATCAAATTTAATGGTAATAATTGTGCATGCCGAGCAGTTAACCAGTGGTGCCTATTCTACCTTTTAAAGGTACATAATTCTCTTTGTTCAATTTCGTGAGCAATTGTTTTTGGAGACTTTTTTAGTGGAGATGTTTGTCACTCTTATATTCAGCTTGTGCGCTCTTCTACCAGCCACCTGAGGCGCCATGTTGTCCAAGCTATTTTGAGGATTTTATGTCCTATCTAACCGCCTTATAATTGCTCTACACACTACCTATCCATCTGAGGCATTATGGCATTTTTGGTAAGTTGCCCTTCATTAATTAAAAAAAAAAAAAAAAAAAATGTTTTATATGATGTATACCACATCTGATGTGTTTGATTTGATATCTGTTCTATTTTTGACCTATGTATCCAAGATATGTAATCTGTTGGCATATTGTGTAATCAACATGAATTTGTTGTTGTAGGTGCTATATCTATTATCTCCTGAAGAAGCCTAAAATAGGCGAAACATGTTGAGAAATATTGCACTGGATATATGTCCTTGAACAAGTATTACCATTAATGTTGGCATACTTGAATGTATTTTTTTAAATAGACTTTTATTGATTTGACAATAAACATTGTAAATTTTAGCTTAGAGTGTTCTACTATTTGTGGCACCTTTAATGTCCCGTTCACTTGCCTTTTTCTATGTGAGTTTATTCTCCTCCTCTGTTTCTTTTTTGTATTTTTTCCCTCTTCTCTTGGTAATTGCTATAAATAAATAAGAAATAAATAAAAATGCTACCCCTATCCTTAACTCTAACCCCACCCTAACAAAAAAAACCAAAATGGTAATAAATAATTAAAAAAAACAAAAAACTGAAAGCTGGTGGAAAAACTAAAAAAAAAAAAAAAAAAAAAAAAAACAGAAAAAACTAGCAACAAAGGATGCAATAGATGATAATTTTCTCTATTGGCTAATAAACATATGCCACAGCTCAAAATGGCTAAAAACTCTGTATATAAACGTGCAAAAAACACGGTAAAATCGTAGTAAAATATGCGTGAAAAATCGTGCTAAAAAACGCTACGCTCAGATGTGAATAGAGCCTCATGGATAATTTTGTCCATGGTGCCTATAACAACAGAAGTCAGTGAGGGAAGTAATATGTCCACAAAGAAAATTACAAATTACTTAAACTGTCAGCAGGAGTTAAAGCAGACACCAACAGCAACCAGCATGTGTCTGCACCACCTCAAAACCCAGATTTTTTTGTAACCTAAACACTAACCTCACTTCACTTACGGGTTAGTAAAGGCACCCATCACAATAAATAACCAACAGTGTGAAGTGAAAGGGGCCAGCACGAGCTTGACTTTTTTTTTGTAAGTCTATCTGCACATAATCACTCTAGCTTCTGGCTTAAAAAAAAAAATAATATAATAGTTTTAGAGCCCATATCACATACAATACATTGTTAACTTACATTTTTAGCACCGCTTAGTTTCTTTAATAACTGGTTGATAGAAACAGAAGTCTGTGGGGTGCATTTGACATGATGTAGATCCAATTCTTGTGACTTCACTTTAATAAATCTAGATTTAAATGGCAGAACACAGGTATCTTCATTGTCTGGAACTTTTGTAGCAGAAAGAAGTGAAATAATACTTTCTGTATTCACAAACTCCACCAGTGCATGAACCCCCTAAAAAAAGCAACACAATGAGAACAAAACATGATTTTATTGGAAAATAAATTGGCGTAAAGGGTGCCAGTCAGTGGCAGTTTCTTGTATAGATTGCATGAAAGGAAACAAGGATTCCTGTAAGTACCTCAATCTAAAAGTGTGTGTTGCGCCAAAAACCTTTTAGGTTTGGGTAGAGTGGAGAAGGATTAGAACCTCTGTTGGGTTTTTACAGCTATCCACGGCTCTGGTAAAGAGAGACAGGAAGCAAGAGAACATCTGCAACAGGTACAAATCCAGAAATAAAAATCTGATAGGAGTTCGAGCCTTCTAGTCTACTAAAAAAAAAAAAGTTGTTTTTCTTATCAGCAGACTGGAAGTAAGGAGAAATCACTTAAACAGAGCCACACATAGCAGTAAAAACCTGACAGGGGATCTCATCCATCCCAACTGAGCAAGATGTTTCAACTTTCCTACTGCATTCTAGACAATGTAAAATAATGTAGTAATAAAGGCTAAGGCCACATGCACACAGGGCATTTCTGCAGCCAATTTTTAGGGGCGTCAGGTGGTTTTTTTTCTTTTACAGCTTCCAAACACCCCTCTATGTTATCCTATGTGTCCATGCACAAAGACTTTTAGAAGCTTTTAGTGGCAAGGGCTTTTAAAAGTTGTAAGAAAAAGAAAAAAAAAAAAACACTTACAGTGCGCAAAGAGGCAGCAGCGCTTTGGCAGAAAAAACCGCTTGACGCGTGTAAATGTTTCTAAACGCATTTTAACGCTAGGCGCGTTGATCAATTTCAATGGTCAGAATAAATTATAATTCTGGCCAATTAAATAAATTAAAGTACAAGCCCTTGACAGCTGTAAATGTGCCTAAATGCTTGCAAAAGTGTTAAAACACGTTTACAAGCATCAAGAGTTTTTTCTACCAAAATGCTGCTGCCAAGAGGAGCAGCGTTTTAAAAAAATGACTTGTGTGTATAAAGTCTAAGTGTTTTTTACCTAAATACATTCACAGCATTGGAGGTAAAAAAAATATCCCAGTACATTCGCAGCCCCCCACCTATTTGCTTACTGTTGTTTGTCACTACGATACTGGTCCTTTGATGATCTGTGCTTTCCCAGAAATTCTAGCTTGAAGATAAAAGGTGAAGGTAAAGGAGTGACTGGCTCCTGAAGCTGTCTGTCAGGGGCTGGGAGCAGGGAGCAAGGGCATGGCTTGCCAGATGCTGTGTGTTTCAAATGACCCACACAGCCTCGGCGGGATGTGCACGGGGATCTTCTTAGCAGCCAGCTACCCAATGGAGACACCTGCAAACAGGAGTTTGGGCCAGCGGTTTGGGGACTGACCAGGAAAACAAAAAAAAGACTAATTCTGAAGAAAGACTTTAATTCAAGGAAGTCCAGGCTTACATAGTATATAAAAAAAAAAAAAGATCGCTTGCATATTGCTTTAAGCAACAACTCTAGCCAAACAACAGAAAAAAGTATACGACAAAGCAGTATTTCCACATGAAAGCACAGAGAAAAGCATCTTAGGTCTGTGGTAGATAAAGAAAAAGTTCAACCTTTTGAGAAAAGTAATAAGTGCACATTTTTTTTTATTAAGGTAAAAAAAATGTGCATTTTTTATATTTTTTGTAAGGAGCCTGCAAAGTATTGTAAACTCTCAGAATAGCTGTCTGTCCATACCTCGTACAGGCAGGAAGATCAATGGACTACAAGGAGTGCTCCCTAGCTCCCTCGTAGTTTATTGAAAACTACAAGCTGTCAGCCAGAATGGCTGATGGTACCTGCAAACATTAATTCACAGGAAAAGGTGAATGAATGCCGTGGCTGTGTGGACAGAGCCCCTCTATTTTCAAATTTGTAGCTATAGTATTTGTAGCTGCTGACTTAATTTCTTTTAACAAGAAATTCATTTTTAAGTTGTTTAGAAGTGCAATGAAGAATTTAACTCTAATGGCAGACAATTTTTTGTTGGGAAAGAATGATTTTCAAATGCTGCCCTGCTAGTGACAGACAGTGGAGAGATGATCCCTCATACCTCCTTGATTAGATAGGCAGGAAAAAAAACAATAAAAAAAAAAACAAAACAAACAATCAGACTGTAACTTTCTTCTCCTCTAATCAAAACAGAAAGAAAACATTTTTGCTGCAGAGGTTAACATTTTAAGCACCAAAATACTATGAAATTACTTACATGGCTGTCAAAAAAGAAGTGATTGGCAACTTCTCCATGTCGTGATAAATGCTTTAAAAATTTCTTCTCATTAATCTTAGAGGGACAGCTTATTAATACAGAGTTCTTGGCTTGTTCTTTTCTTTCTCTTTGGACATCTGCAAAATTCTTCCTTGTGACTTGATCTTGATCTGTGAACAGTAGTGTTAGTAAACAATTAGCACTAGATATCGCAAACTAGAGTTTGATAAGAACAGAGATCTCTTAATTACTGGTTAATGTGGTCCTGTCCCTCTACTCCGTTCGGGGCAGTAGAAATATTTTCTGTATACTGACTGCCGGGACCAGCTTCCTATGTTACTGCAATGAGCCTTGTTTTTGTCTTATTGCAGAAACCACCCACCTAGATCCATCCATTTTAGGTCTATGACTCAGAGAAAAATAACAGTAATAATAATCAATACAGTTTCAAGGGTGACCACTTAATTTCATGAAGAAACTTAGAAGAAGCCAGCACCCCAATTATGTGAATTAAAGTAGAAGAAAAGCCTAACACCACAGGGATGTTCAATTCCTATTGCCTGACTCCTGGGACATGCAGTTCCGGGCGCTGGTCAAGTAGTTTTCATTCTACATTTAGCCCTGCTGCAGGAAGGCAACAGGGCTTGTCACGAGGAAGTATTGAAGGGGGCTACGCTGTCACCCGAATGCTTCCACGCATGTCAATAGAGTGCCTCCTGTGCGCCCTCCCCTGCCCGCTGTATCCTCGGCTTCACTTGCGCTTCTGTGGGCCTGGGACTGGCATAGCGGGTGTCGGCAAACGTCCACTCTCCTACCCTTCGTGTTCCTGACCTGGAAGTGACGGTATGACGTCACTTCCGGGTCCCTGTTGTCAGTATGCAAGGCAGGGCGATCTACACTCCATTACATTAGTGGAGCACAGGGGAGACCTGCAGGGTCTTTTAGACCCTGCACATCTCATTAAAGAGAACCTGTCACCAAAAAATCATCACATGTGATGAAAAAAAAAAACATTAAGTAAAAATGTTTTTAAGTTAAGTAAAAACATTTTTTAGAAGCTTGGAAACACCAGCGATCAGCAGATTGCTACCCAGACTTCTAAAAATATCCAGCGGGAGAATATCCTCATCCAATTTTTCCATTAACCTCCCTAGCGGTCTGATTATGTCAATATTTCTGTGCTCAAAGCAGTACATTTTTTTGCATGGAAATATGTAATTTTTTTTATTGTAGGCCTGTAATTCTTAGGAATAACTCACTGAAATCTGTCCGAACAAGAGTCTAGTAAACATCCCGGGTATGATAAAATTTGAAACCCGAAATCATAAATTATAATTTAATAATCATAAAAAATAATAATATAATAATAATACATTTAATTTAATAATGTAAATCAAACCAAAAACACTGAAATTTGAAATAGAGCGCCAAGTTTGCACATCACTGAGGAAAGTCGCAAAATCATTTTCAATGTCTGATGACGAATTTCCCCCACGAATCATTATCATTCAATTCTGCAAGTGGTTCAAATTTACTATCGCTGTTCTCTAGCCGGTCTAAAACCACTTTTGACCTAAAGGGACGCTTTTTGGACGCCATGGACATTTCTCAGTTTCCAGGCAGAAAGAACAGTAAAAACGCAGGCAGGGCGCACAGGACAAAGCACTCGGGACAAAATGTATGTGAAATGGTTTGATACAGTAATGTTATACTATGTGATTTTAGTGTATTTAGTGAATGTCACTTTTTAACATTTTTAAATTTCCTGCCGGTTCTGTCCCCGTACGTATGTGCTCGCAGAAAATGGAACCCGGATGCCGGCATCGGCCGGAGGAGATGGCTGGGGACGCTGCAGGGGGGGACCATCGAGGGAGTGAAGGACAAGGTAAGTGCAAGAGGGATCCCAGAGCAACACTGCAGGGCAATCCCGAGTGTAGCTTGGGGTTACCGCTTTTGGTACTTAAAGTTAACCCCGAGCTACACTCGGGAATACCAGCAAGGGGGTTAATACCTGTTATTATGCTTTCACGTGGTCTGCCTGCCAGTTTTAGACATACTCCTGGTGGACCTGTACGGACCTGGCAGCAAAATGATTAAAAATTGGTAAGTACACAGATCTTTTTTTATACAGGTTAGGTAGAAGGAGGGGGAGAGAACATTTTTTTGAATCTTTTGAGAGACTTCAATTTTTTTTTCCCACTTACCCTAAAGCCCATAAGAATGTGCCACTGGCATTTCAAGGATTTTCACTGCACTGAATTATTCACTTTGTTTATTGTATTTAAGACGTTCTACGACTCCCCAAGAATGTTGCATCTCTGATGTTCTCATGTTTGTTAAACCATAGTTTACCTCACTGGACTGCTGGTTTCTTAGAAGTAAAAAATTATATGGAGCCCCTCTGACCTGCGTCACCCACTTTTTTTGTTAGGAATTCTGTTTCAATCTTCTTATTGGATTTTAACAAGAGTAATACAAAAGTTTAAGTCAGGCATTTAAATCGCCCACACGGGGGGGGGGGGGCAGGGGGGTTAGGTAGAAGGAGGGGGCTGAATAATAGATAACCAGAATACACTAAACAATACAATTCAGTCAAACATGTCAGGTATCAAAAATAGAAGAAATCTGGGACGTTGGGATGGGACTAATAAATGGAATATGGAGAGAATAATAGTCAGGTCCCTACAATTCTCTCGCAGACCCCAAAGGGGAGGCTCTGCACCTGCAGCCACCTCCAAAAGGCGGTGACTACGTGGGCACAGTCAAGGAAAGCTAGACAGAGGCAAAGAAGGAAATGTAAGAAAGGGAGAAGAAGAAGGAATGGAAATGGAAGGCGGTAATGGGAGTAAGCTGGATATGGAAGCCCCAGACGTCACCCACGTTTTAAACCATAAAACTAATATTTTTGCCAAGATCCCTGTGCTAAGTCACCTTATCTCAAGAAAACTTTGAGTTGGGCACATTTCTGGTCTGCAGGGGGGAGAGCCGGCTCCTCAGTCTGGAGAGAAAAGCTGGGTCGAAAGTTTGTATGAAAATTTGTACACAAATTCTTAGAACATTCAAAAGTAACTGCGGGAAATGCAGGAAAGTTTTTTTTTTTTTTTTTTTCTTCAAAATGCACCCGCAGAGAAGGTGCTGCATGCAATTTCAGACGCATTGGGGTGCCATTAGGAATGAACAGCGCCTCTGCATGTCTGTTATAGAGCAGCGTGTTTTGTGTCAGGAAACGTGTGGTTTACATGCACTCCTGCACCCGCTATAATGTGAACCTAGAATTGGCCAGTCGGTTACAAATAAAAAGCTGTAAATACACAATACAGGGGTACCTCGGTTTACGTATGTCTCAGTTAATGAATGAAAATCCATTGAAAATAATGGCTCAGTTTACTAATTTTTTTTGCAATATGAAACGGATTAATTGGTTTTCAATGCATTTATGAATTTGTTTTTAATCATGTCCCTGTACAGTATTTATGCCTTTAACCGCCTCCCGCCCACCATATAAGGTAATGCTGGGCCCAAAGTGGTTCTCTTGTTCTGGGAGGACATCATATGATGTCCTCCCACTCTAACCACGTGTGCGCAACTCCGGGAGCTCGCAGAGCGGCGATCAGTCGTGCGCTGTGTCCCTCGGACACAGTGGATCACCAATCAACGAAATGAGCCAAAGATGTCGGCTTGGTCATGAGATCAGCTGTGTCCAATCACAGCTCATCACATGTAAACAGGGAAATACCGGTTATCGGCAGCTCGAGAGGAGAGCCGGTAATCGGCATTACTTGGAGGGGACATGTACACTGATCATCAGGACATTGATGATCAGTGTGCTCTGATGATCAGTGTAACCCCAGCAGTGCCACCTGTCAGTGCCCATCAATTCCAGCTTCAACGGAAAGAGCCGAAGATGTCAGCTCGGTCACGTGATCAGCTGTGTCCAATCGCAGCTGATCACATGTAAATAGGGAAATGCCGGTTATCAGCATTTCTCTCCTCACGAGCTGTCACGAGAGGAGAGGAGAGCCGGTAATTCCACAGAGACGACATGTACACTGATCATCAGGGCACTGATGATCAGTGTAGCCCCAGCAGTGCCACCTGTCAGTGCTCATCAATGCCACCTGCCAGTGCCCATCAATGCCATATATCAGTGCACATCAATGCCACATATCAGTGCCCATCAAGCTGCCACATATCAGTGCCCATCTGAGAGCCAGTCAGTGCCGCCTATCAGTGCCATATATGAGTGCTGCCTTTCAGTGCCCATCAGTGATGCCTGTCAATGCCCATCAGTGCCACCTACTAGTACCTCCTCATCAGTGCAGCCTATTAGTGCCCATCACTGCAGCCTCAATAGCGCACATCAGTGAAGGAAAAAAATCACTTATTTACAAAATTTTTATAACAAAAACTAAGAAAAAATGTTTTGGTTTTTTTTTACTTTTTTCTGACCTCGGGAATGGATTAATTGGTTTTCAATGCATGTATGAATTAATTTTTAAGCATGTTGCCTTTTGCCCTGGTTCAAATATATGCAGCCTCGCGGGCTGCGTTTTGCGCGGGCACGAGAGCCCATTCATTTGAATGGATTCCTGTGCCCCGTGACACGCAGGGAAGACATTCCCACACTTCTTCTGAAAACGCAGCCTGCACAGGAACCTCGGTTCCCAGTACGGTTGTGTTTTCCAGTGCGGATGGCATGCCATTAGAACTAGTGGCACCCGCCTGTGGGTCCGCTTTCCTATGTGTGGGTGATGCGGCTGCGTGGATTTTCATGCGGATCCACAGCGGCACCACCCGCACATATGTGAACCTAGCTTTAAAGTGCACTTTATAAAGAGTTCTGAACAGATAGAACTCTTTTTCTGACCTCCGGAACGGATTAATTGGTTTTCAATGCATTCCTATGGGAAACCGCATTTCGGTTTATGAATTTTTCGCAATAAGAAAAGTCCTGCAGAACGAATTCAATTCATAAACCGAGGTACGCCTGTATATACAGGTGCGGTTTGCTTCTTATAGTAGAACAGGGAAGTACGTATTGCAGCATTACGGGCGTCATTCACAATGAATAGCACCACAGTGCATGTGAATGCATGGGTTAGTGCTGTAGCTTGGGATGAATGAGTCCAGCATGTCATTTATACAATACAGGACAGACACACAGGGTCCCTATGGCTGTCCCTCTCCCCCTCCATCCTAGAAATGATAGCACACTGCTAGAACCTCCACATAACAAAACATACACTTCTGTAGGGCCTGCTCCTCCCCGGCCCAGCAGCAAAGAGCTCATGGAAGAAGGTAGGACTCTGGTACTGGTGCAATGACCTCATCCAAGCAGGAATTCACCCCCAATGTCACATCCCCCGACCTCTCCTCACCCGCCGTTTCCGCCGCCAGCGCCCTCCTCTGCTGCCTCCCGGCCGCCGTACTCAAGGCCCGGCCAGAGGCCCTCACCACCGGGCCCAGCTTCATACAACGAACCATGACACTAGCCGGGCACATTGTACTACGCATGCACACAGCAGGCCATGCTAGGGCACCATTACACTACGCATGCGCACAGCAGCCCAGACTACGGCGCACATTGTACTACGCATGCACACAGCAACCCAGGCTACGGCACCCGTGCGGACCAAAACACCGCCAGAGTGACCGCTTCGCGGTCTTCCTGTAGAAGTTGTGACCTCTATTTTGACAGAGGTGCCGTGTACTGGTCTCCTTGCTGTCAGTGGGGTACAAGTGTGCAGTAAGTCCCTGGTCACACTGGGTGCGACTTTGCATGCAATTTGCAAATCCCATGCCAAGTCTCGCCCTATTGTCCGCAATTGCAGCGGTCATATCGCTGCGGTTCCGACTTGGTGGAAGCGCACCGATTTCCAAAGTAGTACATGCACTACTTTTGGTGCGATTTGCATAGACAACTGTGTCAGATGTCTTGCAAATTGCACCTCAAATCGGCGTGATATCAGACTTTGAAATCGTGCGACTTCACTGTAAGTCGCTCGATTTCAAAGTCGGGATCGGTGTGACCGGGGTGTAAGTCTAGGTTAACACCTATGCAGGTTGTTTGTGAGGCATTTCTGCTTTGCGTTGCGTGTTTGCTGTGTTTTTGATGCGTTTTGCGGGATGCGGTGGGGATTCCATCTTTTTTATTTTTCTTGTTGCAAGGCAGATTTTAAACACAAAAACGCAGCAAAAACGCAATACATGTTTTTCTGCAGCGTTCCCATTGAAGTCTATAGAACCAAAAACGCAACGTTTTGCGTTAAAAAAAACTCCCTGACCCTTTACAGAAACGCACCGGGTGAAAACGCGGAGATATTAACCTGTCCCATAGGAAATCGTGTTAAATGGACAGTACTGCGCGTTTCTGCAAAATGCTGCAGAAAATGCTTAGGTGTGAACCTGGGGTAAAGGAGGAGTACAGATTTCTAGTGATTTGCAAAGCATGCATACTGACTCTGAGCAGTTTATCTACATTAAAGTGTAGGGGTTGGGCAAAAATATGGAAACACTATATGATTTGCAGGTGTGAAAGTGATGGATGTAACATTCTTTTTCTTCTGCTGTGTGATGAGACACCTAGCTTTTGTCATTCACTGCTAGTAATACAGATGTCAGAGCTTACTGAGCTGCAAAGAGGGCAAATTGTTGGCGCCGCTTAGCTGGTACCTTTGTGATCGAAGCTGCCAATTAGCGGTGTTGCAAGGCACAGTATCAAAGGTTATGACGGCATATACAGTTTCCAGGAACATGTCATCTGACAAGTATAAATACGGTGGACATGGTCAACTGATGGAAAGAGACAAAGGGATATTGTGCAGGATCGTGACCCGGAATAAGAAAATAACCGCTGCAAAAGTGACTGCAGAGCTCAATCTCAGTCTTCCAAAATCTGTGTCCACAAAAACTATATGGAGGAAACTCCATTAGCAAAACATTCATGTGCAAGCTGCATTGCCAAACCACTAGTGACCGATATAAACCACTTGCCAACCACAGATAGCCGATGCACCCGGCGATCTCCGTGATTGCTGTGTCCTATGGACACAGCTGATCACGTGATATGGTAAAAGGAAGGGGTGCGCAAAATCACATATATATGTGATTTTGCATTTCCGGGTAGGGGGCGGCCGCGGCTGTCAATCACTGGGTCCTGGCCGGTAATTACCCTCTGGCACCCGGTGATTACCGAGCATCTCCGATGGGGAGGAAGACGGGGCGCGCACTCGGCGATCTCTCCGTGATCACTGTGTCTTACGGAAACAGCTGATCACGTGATGTGGTAAAAGGCCAATCACAGCAGCCTTTTACCACGTGATCAGCAGTGTCCAATGACATTCACCGGTAAATGCAGTTGCCGGTTATCAGCTGCACTTTCCTCAAGCTGTCACAGCATGAGGAAAGTACTGCTGATAACCTGCAATTGTCAGAGGAAGGATCAGCACTGATGATCAGTACTCTGATGATCAGTGCCCAACAGTGCCACCCACCTGTGCCCAGCAGTTCCGCCCAAAAGTGTCCATCAGTGCCACCCACCTGTGTCCATTAGTGCCACCCACCTGTTACCATTAGTGCCTAGTAGTGCCACCCACCAGTGCCCATCAGTGCCACCCATGAGTGCCCAGCAGTGCCAACAGTCAGTGCCGTCAGTCAGTGCTACCCATAAGTGCCCATCAGTGCCGCCTATCAGTGCCCATTAATGCTACCTATCAGTGCCCCATCATTGTTGCATATCAGTGCAGCATCATCAGTGCCATCATCAGTGCCGCCTATCAGTGCTGCCTCATCAATGCACATCAGTGAAGAAGAAAAATTACCCATTTGCAAACTTTTATAATAGAAATAAAGCGCAAAACATTAAACACCCAGCAATGATTATATACCACCAAAAGAAAGCTCTATTTGTGTGAAAAAAATGATAAAAATTTCATATGGGTACAGTATTGCATGACCGCGCAATTGTCATTTAAAGTGCGACAGCGCTGAAAGCTGAACATTTGCCTGGGCAGGAAGGGGGTAAAAGTGCCCGGTAGGCAAGAGGTTAATAGCAAAGAGTCCAAAATATTGTTTTTTTTTCTCAAAATTGTTGGTCTTTTTTTTATAGCGCAAAAGATAAACGCACAGGCAATCAAATACCACCGAAAGAAAGTTCAATGCGCGGGGAAAAAAGGACGTAAATTTTATTTGGGTGCAGCGTTGCATGACCGCGCAATTGTCAGTTAAAGTAACGCAGCACCGTAATGCAAAAAGTGGCCTGGTCAGGAAGGGGGGTAAATCCTCAGGACGACAAATGGTAAATACTCTCCACTTAGAGGTTCACAACATGTGTAAATTCCAAACATAACTCACATGTAGACTCGACGCGTTTCAGAAATTCATCTTCAGGAGCACATGAGAGAGACTGTGTACATTGGAACCCACACTTGATCTTTATAGAAAGGTACCAAAAGGCATGAATAAATGGAATTTACAACATGACAATGTTTTCAGTGGAGATGCATCTGAAAAAACCCAGGATGGAACCAATGTCTCTCAGGTAAGGATACCCACATATGGTCACAAAAGCAATCAAATTAGTCTTCACAAAGAGGACCAACCCCCTAGTACTATAGCCGTAGAATAACAACACAAATGGGTCATCAGTATTGTGGCAGCACCCAAATATTTTAGAGTTCCCCTTAAGTTTTAACATTTCTAACAGCATCTGTTTGCAAAACAAGGTCATCAGCTCACTTCCCCCCTCCCTTATTTCCTGTGATATAATGTGTTCCAGTCTGTAGCTGACACCCTTTTTTTCAGCTGAAGATAATTTATCGAGCAAGGCCATATTCTGCACTGCTTAGAAAGTCTTCTAAATGTACAGAAAGTGAAAGAGCAAATAATTGCTGATATGTAGACCCTGTAAGATGCTTTTCAAGGCACTTAGCTTGCAAACACGAGTCCTTGTTAAGTCAACCAGCACTGGTAAATAAAAATTTTTTTTTCTCAAGTTCGTGTCCAGATTTTTACTTGGAATTCCCAAAGTTGCCATTACAGTATAACAGTCTAGACCAGGGGCGGACTGACAACTCATGGGGCCCCCGAGCAATAGGGGATCATGGGGCCCCTGTGTCCTTGTCCAAACTCAAAAAAGCCTATGAAAAGGTACCAGGGGCATCTCATGGGGCCCCCTACTGACCCCGGGCCCTCGGGCAGTGCCAAATGGTCAGTCCGCCTCTGGTCTAGACTTGTATATTCAAAAAGTGTCAAGGGTTCCCAGTTCATCCCCATCAAAGTGGAAAAATCGCCAAGTCCAGCAAAGTTCACATCATTCCTTGCAATAGTTTGGGCCTTTTGTTAATGTTTGAAGAATCCAAAATAACGTACTGACAGAAAGCAGAATCTCTAAACACACGCTAATACAGGAGGGTGTGTTACTGGCCAGATCACCAGGTGATAACAGATGTGAAAAAAAAAATGAAAAAAAAGAAAACTAAAGCTGCCACCACACATCAAAGGATTGGAAAGCTGCAATATATTACATTTTTGGTTTTGGGTTTAACACTGCTTTTACATCTCCCAATCAGGAATTTAGACAGCAATAAAAAAAAATGGAGGTTCTAACCCCTCCCCACTTTTTCCAAAAGTATAAAAAATGATATGCGGCTAGCTGTATGTAAACTCTGCTGTGATATTTGAAATCTATTAGCTAATTAGAAACTATCTTTGGAAATAATTGTAGAAAGCTGCAGCTAAGCATAATAAAAACTAGATGGAAAAAGCTTGAGGTGATTGTAGCCGTATTCGTGCATTTGCGACAGAAACAATTGAAAGAGATGGAAACAGTATAAAGGGAAAGTGAAAATGGAAATTGTCTACACCAGCCAATCAGAATGTGCCATTTGTACACTGCCAGCTAGAAAATGAATGTAATACAGTTGCATCATCGTCATCATCATCCTTTACTGCTTAAAGATGGAAATCCAGTCTAAAACTACCGTAAACGTGCTCTCACCCCCAATCTAAGTCCCATTACTAACATACTAACTAGCCCAGCAATGGGCAAACTACGGCCCGCGTATACGGCCCGGCGGACCTTTTAATCCGGCCCGCGGAGCTAGGCTCCCGCTAAGCTCCTCACACAGTCCGCCCTGAAGACCGGTGTAGCATGAAAAAATCTGTCTCCTATGAGGATCTGTCCCCCTCGACGTATCTGCGCATGTGCCGGAGATCGCCGATCGGCTGCTAATGCCTGAAACTGGCACATGCGCAGATACGTTGAGGGGGACAGATCCTCATAGGAGACAGATTTTCATGCTACACCGGAATGGCGCAAGAACACGGCGCGCGAGCGTAGGAACACGCGCGGAGCAAAGGTAAGTGAATTGAACACAGGGGGGACTTACTATAGGGGGGTGAATTAATATGGGAAATGAATTACTATAGGGGGGATGAATTACTATATGGGGGATGAATTACTATGGGGGATGAATTACTATATG